TGAGGTAAGTATTCGCCCTAGAGAGGCTTCTCAGAACTGCCAACTTCTTCCTTAAATGTCTGGCAGAACTCACCCATGCATCCATCTGGGCCTGGTTCTGGCTGTCATTCACCTAGATTATAAAATGTGTGGGCACGGTATAGGATTCTTTCTCATGTAACGGCCATGGGATCCGTAATGATGACCTTTCATTCATGTATGTATTTAGACAGTGTCTATGTTGCCCAGGTTAGCCTTTCATTCATGTACATATTTAGACAGTATCTCTCTATGTTGCCCAGGTTAGCCCAACCTCAAACTCACAATCCTCTTACTTCTTCCCTCGAAGTGCTGAGATTTCGAGCATGGGCCACCAGGCCTCCTCATTCATATAGAAATCTGTGTCCCCCTTGCTGTGGGATGTTTTGTATGTCCTGTGGGAGCCCGTTCTCAGGTTCCTCGTGGCTTTACCCAGCAGGTCCGCATAGAGGGTGATTAGTGCAGGTGTTTGAGATGGTCTGCACTTGGCTGTGCTGTGGGATGGTCTGTATGTCAAGTTGCTCTGATTGGTCAATAAATAAAACCTGATTGGCCCGTGGCTTGGCAGGAAGTATAGGCGGGACTAACAGAGAGGAGAAAAGAAAGAACAGGAAGGCACAAGGAGTCACTGCCAGCCGCCACCAGGACAAGCAGCATGTGAAGATGCTGGTAAGCCATGAGCCACGGGCAGGGTATAGATTTGTGGAATTGGTTTATTTAGGCTATAAGAACAGTTAGCAAGAAGCCTGCCACGGCCATACAGTTTGTAAGCAATATAAGTCTCTGTGTTTACTTGGTTGGGTCTGAGCGGCTGTGGGACTGTGGTGACAGAGATTTGTCCTGACTGTGGGCCAGGCAGGAAAACTCTAGCAACATCCCCCCTTTCCTTCAGCTGCCTACAGATTTACTGACTCCTGATTTTTCCAAGGAGCCAGCTTTGGGGTCCCTGGCTACTGATCTCCCACTTTCAATTTCGTAGACTCTGCTCTAATTCTGTCTACTCCTTCTTTTGGGTATCAATGCTCCTCCAGCTTACTAAAGCGATAGTTCAGATGAAAGACTTTAGCAATTTTAGAAAATCCCAGAACATCAGAAGGCTGAGAGCTGTACGGTACAGTTACTACAGCCAGGTACACTATGTCTAAACTTCAGACAGACAGATGCGGCCACAGCTACTGTACAGGCAGCCGGCTCTAGCACCTAACACATTACTGTTTGCACCTGTCCCCTCTCCACTGTGCTCAAGTCTACAGGGTCCGTGTGTCTGGATGCTACAGCGCTTTAACTGTTTATAACACTTCTTCATTTCTTGGATGGCAAGCATCCCATCTTTGTTCTTAAGACCCTTTTATCATCTGCCTCTTTCAACTCCATCCATTGGCTTGTCAAACCAGTGGGGTGACAGAGCTGATCACTTCCCCCGGGCCCTCTACACTTACCCACCCCTCAAATATCCCCAAGCGTCTCCTCCCTAGCCCCTTTAATGTTCTTAACCACGCCCATCACTGAACACTGAGGGCTCCACGGCTTGAGTCTCATTTCCTTAGTCTGGATGCCTCAGTCTCGTGACTTTCCTGTTACAGTTCGGACATGAAGTGTTCCCACCGAAGGCCCAAGTATGAAGGCCCAAGTACGAAGGCTTGCTTCCCGGCCGATGGGGCTGGCTGGGGAGATTGGGAGGTTTTCAGCGTGTGGGTCCAGCTGGAGGAGATGAGTCACTGCGAGCATGTGACTCTTTCTCTTGGCTCCCTGTCTCCATGAGACGAGCGGCCTTGCCACCTGCTCCCACCTCTGTGATGTTCTGTCTCACAACAGCTCTAGAAGCCACAGAGCAGAGGTGATGGACTAAAGTCTCTAAACTGGAAATAAATATATCTTTTCTCCTTTCAACTTACTTGTATCAGAAATTTTATCATAGTGAGTAAAAATTGGCCAACAAACCACCGTTCTGAAAACTACCAAATTTCTGTTTCTAATAGAACCTTTGTCTTGAACCCCAGTTTTTAATAATCTCTTTGAACAGGCATCTCGGGTACGGCTAAAACTAACCCTGATTTCTGCCTTGTGTGCCACCCATTCTCATTTCCACGCGCAATCTATCAGCAACTCCTTTTCTAGCATGTGACTGCTGCTTACTATACAAATCTTTCTTTACTTTCAACAACCCACGGTCAAGCGTAGCCCAAAACATAAATGGAAAATTCCAGAAGGAATTCCTAAGTTCTAAACCACACACCATTCTGAATAGTGTGATGAAATCTTTAGCCATCCAGCTCTCCTCCAGCTTAGCCATGACTCACCCTGGTCATTTATCTGCCAACTGGACTAGTACAGACCAATCGCCACAATGTCGGTCAAGCAATGCTTGTGGTCCCTGTTGTGATGCCTCTATCACTCACCTTGCTTCATTTTATCACCTCAGACCCCACAGGAGATGGTGAATACAATGTATACTTTTAAACAGGCAGAGGCCATATGCAGGCAACTTTTATTGCAGCATAATGCTATTAATTGTCTTATTTTATTACTGTTAGTGCTACTGTGCCTACTTTGACAACTTTATCATAGGCATGTATATAAAGGAAAATGGAACCCTGTATAGGACTTGGTATTGTTGAAGGTTTCAGGCATCCATGGAGGAGGGGTCTTGGATTGTATGCCCAGGAATAATGACTGACTATGGTCCCCTAACTAGTCTGACTCCATCTCTGCTCTGACAGTCAAGCCTGAACACGAAAGTCAGGCCCTCTCATTCTTCTGCTCAAACCCCTCTGACCGGCTCCCTCCTCCTGAATAAAGCCGGCCTTTCCTAGCATCCATGCGGCTTCCAATTCATTCCTTTCCCCGCTCCTCTGCTCAAAGCTGGTAGACTCCTTGTTAGTCTTCTAGCAGGCTGAAGTTCTCTGGATTCTGTGTTCGCTGTGCTTCCCCGCCAGGTGGAGGGCTGTCCACCTCACGCCAGTCTGTCCGCACATGGTTTCGAACTGTAAAACCGTGAGTTCCTTTCCCAGTGCTCCTGCCCCTCACTCCTCTATTTCTCTTCTTAGTAACTGTTACCATCTAACTGGATATACTTCCATTTTTAAACCAATTATTTTACTAGCCCATCTTTCTCCAAGGGAATGTTAGCTCCATTAGATCAAGGACTTAGGTTACATTATGTCCCTGGTTCTTGGAATTGCCCCAGCACAAAAGACAGGTTGTATGTGTGCTACATGAACCTTGACAATGCACTCTTGAACCTGGTACTGCTAAGTGGGTCGGGACGGTGGTGGTCAGCTTTAGTGCTCAAGTTAACACATGAAGGAAGCCCTGGGGGGGGGGGGGGTGCGGGTCTCAGTGAGAGAGTGTCCAGATTAGGTAGGCCTCTGAACACACCTATGAGGGGTTTCCTCAGTTGGGTCAATTGGGATGTGGGTGGCACCATTTCCAGAGCTGGGCCTCAGACAGAACGGAAAGGAAAGAGAGCTGGGCACCAGCATGCATTCACTCGCTGCCCTCTGCTCTTGACCATGGCTGTAACAGACCAGCCGCCTCACGCCCGCCACCTTCCCTTCTCCGCTGTGACAGCCTGCACCCGGCGTCACGAGCCTTCTCCCGTGGGCTGCCGGGGTATTTTATCCCAGCAGTAGTTAACTAAGAAGACAGTACAAGTCCCAGTCTCTGGGGCTGTGAAATAACCATTTCCAGTCTCACATGGAAAATCCTTGACCTTGCAGCCAGTAACTCAATTTGCTCTACAGAATGTGCCTCATCAGGTGGCAGCTTCTCTCCCACGTCTTTCCGGTGTCCTGTAAAACATTAGCTTACTGTGGGAGGAAAAAAAAAAACTTTGTTTGGCATAATGCTACACGTGCAAGGTGAAACTCATTGTGAAAATACAATTAACGAACACACAACTAATGTGTGTGAACGAACACAGACGAGCTTCTACTTCAAATCAAACTGTACTAAGCAGGAGAACCCAGGACATTTAACTTTATTTTCACTACAAGTTTAAAGGGCAAACTTGTTTTCCCATTAAAGTCCCTTTAAATTAAAGGGACAGTGGTACAGGCTCTTCCATACTGTCACACACTTCAAGTCTTAAAGAAATCATTTCAGGCTACAAAGTGCATCAACAAACAAAACTCCCAAGGAACACTATGTTTGGAAGTTAACAGAAATGGGATGCAGGAGTGGGATCTTGGGAGTCTCGGACCCCATTTAACTCTCTGTCAACTGTCTGGACTTAGACAAGTTAATTTAGACTCTGTTCCTCAGGTTCCTTATCTGCAAATGAGAGACGGTACTTGTTAGGTTTGTTGCAAAGATGTTAAAAAGGTGCATCACTGGGTGCGATACCTGACAGTAGACGGCCAGCTGTTACTGTAACGCGAACACCATCACGCCACTGATAGCACCTTAGGAAGGGCCTAGATACCAGTGCTGCGTCCCGAAGAGTGAGGAGTGTCATTCTTCAGTGGTACCTGCCTATCACTACAGTCTGCGGCCAATTCTAAATTCTGTGGAACACAGTAAAGAATGAATACATGCCTTTTCCCCAGCGCACTTGATGGGGAATCGGGAGAGAAACGATCGGCTTTTTAACGACGCGTGTCAAGTGTGCGAGTCCGCGATCACCTGAGGCCTGAGCAGCAAGGGTGCAAACCCTGTCTTACCGAGGGCCCCCCGGGCAGTGAGTGTGCACTGCTCCCACGCACGCCCGGACTGGACTGTGCACTCCTCTGTGACCCGCCAAGGACTCCACCTCTTCCTAACTCTGCTCTGCACCCGAGCCTCGCCGGACGGGACACCGGGGACTCCCGAATACCCGCGCGCGTGCTCCGCGCAGCCTCCCCGGCCTGGCCCGCGCCCTCCCGCCAGCACCGCCCGTGGGGGAGCCGCTCGGACCCGCGCCCGTCCCCACGGCCGTCAGGGCCCGCAAGGCAGGTGTCGCCGGCTCCCGCCCAGCGGCTGCCCACGGTCCCCGGCCCCGGTACCTGAGCCCGAGGCCACGGCGACAGCAGCAGCAGCTCCTCCTCTGCAGCGGCGGCGGGCGGGGCGTGGACAGCCAGAGCGGGGCAGAGCGGCCTGGCACCACTTGGCAGCGCGCCCCCTGCAGGCGGGAGGCTCGCACGGCGGCTCGGCCTCCACCAAGTAGGCTGCTGCTGCTGCTGCTGCGCAGAGAGAGGTTTTGACAGTTTGAGCTCTGGCGCCAGCATCTCCCACTTCCACCTCTTTTTCTAAGTGCACGTCCACCCCCGCCACTAAGTAGAAATTTCGAAGGCAAAAGCAAATTTATTAAGTGCCACGGGCATTAATTTATTAGTTTCTGGCTGCGGAAGAGACGTTTAAAACCCAAACCCACACCTTAGCAAATAATGGCTGACCCTCCTACTCTAAGATAGGACTCCCGACGGGTTGTTTATTATTCGGATTGAGTGCTTACACTTGACTTACCATGACCCGTGTACAGCCAAACCTGAAAAGTGACGATACAACCGTTTACTGGAACATTCTTTCACGTTTTATCAACTCCGGTCTTACAGGGGGACTTGTAAACACTTAACCCCACCAACGACCCTGGAAGGTGTCATCGCTTCAGGGATCCAGTCTGTTTTTTCCTGGCCGTGTCAAGTAAATGTTTTGGATTACAGCCTGGCTTGAGGGAATCTCACATTTCCTTCCCTTGGGGATTATAAGGCTGCAGAGAGCTCAGCCGGTAGGGGACTTGCATGGCATGAGGACCAGAAGTCAATCTCAGAACCCACATGAAACACCAAGCATGGGGCCATATGTTGTAATCCCAGTTCCGGGGAGTGGGAGACAGTGGGAACCCAGGGGTACCCTGGCTGGCCAACCTAGAGAGCCCAGGACACAGTAAGCAATCCTGTCTCAAAAACAAGATGGTTGGCTCTTGAGGTATGACACCTGAGGCTGACCTCTGACCTCTATGTGCAAGAGCACATACATACATGTACCCACAGACACATAAGTATCTGCATGCACATGCGTGTACACACACACACACACACACACACACACACACACACACACACACACACACATTCTAAGATACCAGGGCAGGCTGAGTTCAGCAATCCCCAGCGCTGAAAATCATCTTAGGATATTTTACATTTACTTGTGCAGTGACTAATCATAAATATTCTTTATATTGGTGATACATTAGTCAATTTGTCAGTGACTGAGTTCATAATATCTTCATGTATGCCCCTGCACTGTGTCAAATCATTGGGTAATTTAAATGGTAATTATATTCATATAATTTATTCTTCCCTAGTTGTTGGCTCATCAAATAACCTGAGAGTTTGTTGATTGCTTATATTCTAATTTATCTTCTCTTCTTCATAAATTATGGCTTCTGTTCAATAGGAAGAACTTAGGGATGGTGAAGACAGGTTTTTTTTTCCTTCCTCTGATGAGATTAAGGAAATGGACTGTAAATTGCATGTGTCTTACGACTCCTCCCCATCCTGCCTCTGGGTACTTGACTCTGTGGACTCAGAGTGTCTTCATGGATGTATTTTTACATCCTAGCAATATTTTGATACTTACTGGAAGTGACCATAAATCACAAGATCACATCTTAACTAAAAGCAAACTGAAGAGTCTCCTACCATGTTCTTGCTTAGTTGATCCTCAGAATGTCTGGACCCACCCGGTGCTGATTCCCCTGGGAAGAATTGCTTTGGAAGTCTGAAGAGAAAGTAGCAATCTTAATCAATGGGAGCTGAGATATTAACTTAAACCAAACACATAGTCATGTGGGCTTGGAGGGGTCTGTATAAGAAGGGGCTGTGCCTCGGTTACCTATTGTCATGGTGACAAACTGCCACAAATCTAATTGTTTAAGCAATTGCATTAGTCATTTTACAGGTCAGGAGGTCATACTTAGATAATCTAGATGACCTCCACATCTCCAGACCTCTGGACAATCACTCTTGCAAAGCCCCTTTCCTGTGAGTGATGGTGTCTAGACAGAATCTAGGCCCCTGGATGTGCTTGGAGAGGACTATCTTGATTAATTAACTGAGGTAAGAAGATCCACTGTGGGTGGCAGCATTCCCTGACTGTGAGCTTGGCTTGTGTAGAGACAGGGGACTGAGCAGAAGCAGGCGTTTGCTGTTCTCGTTTCCTGACCATGGATGCACTCCAACCAGCTGTCGTCTCCAACCAGCCGTCTCCAGCCCCTGCTGTCATGGCTTCCCGGCAAAGATGGACTGTACTCTGAACTGTGAGCCAAAGTAAGCCTTTCATCCCCTAAGTTTTCTTTTCTTTCTTTCTTTCTTTCTTTCTTTCTTTCTTTCTTTCTTTCTTTCAGATTTATTTATTATGTATACAGTATTCTGCCTGCATGTGTCCCTGCAGGCCAGAAGAGGGCACCAGATCTCATTACAGGTGGTTGTGAGCCACCATGTGGTTGCTAGGGATTGAACTCAGGACCTTTGGAAGAGCAGTCAGTGCTCTTAACCACTGAGCCATCTCTCCAGCCCCCCTAAGTTTTCTTTGTCAGGTTATTTTATCACAGCAACAGAAAAAAGAAGCTAAGGCGCTATGCAAGGTTAAGTGTGTGTAGGTTCTGGGGACTGGGCTGTGGGCATCTTGGAAGGACTGCCATCTTATACATTATGAGGCCTTGAATTTTAAATTTCATTCCAATCAGGAAAACATGCCTTTTTGTCTTCATCCCAAGTTCTGACTGTAAAATTTTCATTGAATAACAAAAAAAGAGAAGCCTTTCCCATTGAGAAAAGAGGGCAGCGATGTCTGTGGATAAACATTAATTCTGAGACTCAATATTTACTCTGAGGAGTTAAGGGGGACCATGGCAGGAGCAAAGAATCCATGTGGCCAAGTTACATCTTCACCCCCGAATGCTCAACATGTCCACAAGAGCGCCAGCACATGGGCTGTATTTGGGCATGGTTGCTGGGTGGCTCTCTACCCTAGTGGCACATTCTAACCACCACATTAGCTTTAAAATCACCTGTGCCTAGTCAAGACCAGTTTAGGGTTGTTTAGCGGCAGAGTCTGGGCATCTGTGTTTTGCTGTTCAGGGAATTCTAACGTGTAGCCAGGGATGAGCTAAGCATAGAAGAGGGCTGAGCGAGGACCGCTGAGCAAGGAAATGGATGCAGGAATGCTTAGGGCAAGATTTTCATGCAGGAGGTTTCCTTCTTCCTAGGAGAAATAAGAGTCTGGGCTGTGCCAATTAAGCCTTCCTACATGGTCTCAAAAAAATGCAGACGACTTTTTAAAATAGTACTGACCCAATCAGAAAAGCATGGCCCTCTGGCTGTAACCAGTTTTCGATGCAGAAAGAGGTATGTTTAGAATGGGGATTGTTTTTAAAACACTCAGAACTCGAAACGAGGAGGCCCATCCTTAGCCAGTCTTGGTGGTGTATACCTTTAGTCCCAGCTCTCTTGAGTTTGAGGCCAGCCTGGTCTACATAGTGAGTTCTAGGACAGCCAGGCTTCATAGTCCCTGTTCTTGGTCTCGTTTCTTGTAGTACTACAGAATGACCAGGAGAGGGAGACATGCTCCTGAGAAGAGTCGCTCCCACGGGTCTAACTCCTCTGATCAGCTGTGACTCAGGTTGTGTCAGGTGTGAAGAAGGTTCTTGGGTTCTCAGAACCACAGACTGAGCAAGCCACTGAACGCCATCCGATAGCATGCATTCACCCAAATGGGATCCATCTCTGTCCTCTAACGCTTTGAAACACTTAAACCACAAGAAAATACATGCGCCAGGCAGCGTCTTTGCAAAACGGAGGAAAAATTCAAAGCCTCCAGGAAGCAGAGCAATTAAAAAGTGTCTCAAGCCAAACTTTCAAGATGAGACCCCTCTCCCTTATTAATTACAAAATAAACATCTTGGGACTTGATTTTTTTTTTAATTACAAAAATACAGTTGGAACCCTGGGAAGAAGAAGATTGTTTTTCTTTGCCACACCAGAACCATCCAGAATCATCCAGCTTCACCACAGACAAAACCACTCTACAGGAACACAGACAGTGTCTGGCACTGATTAACTTCCCTCCCACGGCTACACAGAGGCAGCCCTGTGAGTAAGTTCCCTCTGGGAAGGTTTGAGCCCTGCACATCCTGTGCTGGTGAGATGCTGGGCTGCGGGGGCAGAAGCAGAACCACGTGTTGATAAGAGATCTGCTCTGGGAGCCACCTTATGTGACTGTGCCAGCTGCTCGGGAAGTGAGGGTTTGGAGGGGGTGTGGGAGGAGCAGTAACTATCTGCCGGCCGGCAAGATGCACTTGCCCCCAAACCTGCTGGCCTGAGTTCAAGCCTCAGGACTCACATGGTGGAAGGAACCAAGTTCCACCAGTCATCTCTGGAAACTTGTGATGCAAACATGCATGCACCTGCCTACACACACAGAAGATGGATGGATGGATGGATGGATGGATGGATGGATGGATGGATGGATGGATGGATGGATGACGGATGGACAGACAGATGGACAGACAGACAGATGCAAAAATCATTTTGTTAAAGTCACACAGCAGTCCCTCTGAGGATTCTAGGAAACCAAGCGCAGCTTGGACCTCTTTAGAACGGCTCTCTCTATAGCTACTCCCCTGCCAGACCTTCAACACATGTGGACTGTGGTTCTGGAGGTAAGCAGGATCCTGGGTCCAGAAGATCTAAGTGTGGGTAGACTGCCCCGTGCCTCTGCCTTTGCGTGGCACTGTATCCGACTATGAAAAGACGTCTAGGGAGCAATCACTCTTCCCTCACCCTGCTGTCCATCTTACATACAAGGACCTCTTCGGTCCAACTCTAAATTGGAGCCACTCCGGGGAGGGGATTCTGGGAAACATTGTTACCAGCATGGCCAAGCCAACAAAAACTGAGACCTGTTCTCACAGCTGATTTTGCAGGTAAGGAAACTGAGAGCATCCAGGTCAGACCTTGCCTAACCTCCATGGATGACTGGAAGCGGGAACAAGCTCAGCATCAGCTGAAGAGGAGAAGGAGGGTCAGAGTAGCCATCCTGCTGTCACTCCTGTCGTCTTCTGTGGAACTGAATACTCCAAAGTGTTTCCAGCAGCAAAATGC